CACCGAAAAAACATCTTGAAATGCTTTTGGCTACTGCATGATTTTTGGCCGGATCTAGGCTGGCCCTTCAAAGTTCCCATACAAGCATGACACTATCGTTTTTGACTGGAAGCAAAAGCTCTACATACTTGGGCAAAAATCGATCTGCAATGTCTGCAAATGCTAAGAATCTATGCTTTGAAGACGTAGGGCACTTCGATAAAGAATTATAAAAAAGCATTTCAAATTTTAAGTGGGATATTTAACAACTCAACATTGAAGTCCTTGTAGGTTGTTTTTCTCTCAAAACGGGCCATAAGAGCCAAAGCATTTGCTGGTCCATGATGTGTGTTCCCCACAGAATCAATTTCTTAGCAAGAGCAGCAGCTGCACAGTGATGGCTGCGGAACAGCTGCTTTCTGTCAGTCATCACTCGCGATTTTCGTGTTCTAGAGTTTTTTCTCACGTACTTTAGCGAATAGACAGTTTTACACAGCTGAGATGAGCATAGCTATGGAACCCATGACTATTATTCCGAGTGAAACCATTGGTTACCATTCACATACATCTTCTGTCCTTACGACCAAGAAATTGACACGAATATACTTCTGTGTCAAATTGGCAGAGGTACAATGTTAACTATAGCAAATATGTTCGTTCTTTCTACTACTTATGGGGGAAGCGCTCTGGAGTGTCCATTGCGTGCATCCTAAGTTGCAACGGAGTAGGTGAAGTACATATATGCTGCAAATTAGGTTTAATTTTTTGCGTAATAAGTAGGATCAAAAACAAAAGCTATTGCAACGGCTCCTACTATGATCCTATTTGAATATAAGTGTACATACTTTGAATTGTGTATCTTACCGAAACATGCACGCATGCCATCAGCGGCATCTTTCCCTCCTTTCTGAGCACAGCATCGCATTATGATGTTGTGGACTTAGTATCAAAAGTAAAACTGGAAACTGAATCGAGACATCACATGCTTCATTTCCTCACATACAAATTCTTGAAGTGCGTTCTCTCTGGATGTGTACAGCACTCAACTTTTCGGAATCTTTGCGAATGCTTCTGTGGGTTACACAATGTTTTGCTAGGCTAGCCGATGGGCAGAGCAGTCCTTAAGTTGTTTCAAGTCCTGCACCAATTTATCGATCTGGAAGGATGGAAGACTTGGTTGATCTTGGCAAACTTCGAACAAGGACAAATAACGCGATAAGGAGGGGTAGCGTAGTCATTTGATGCTGCATCACGTCTTCTTCAACAAAAGTGCGGTTACACATCGCATCTATTTGCTTCCGTATATAAATTGGTCATAGCATTCGATTCGAAATAAAAGGTGAATCAGAGGTTGGCAGAAATCATTAAACAAGTACAGTTTGATTTACTACTTTCAAGTAAAAATTTAGATGTAGGCATCGGCGAATGTCGATGTAGTAATTTAAGCTGAATCTTTTTTCGCGAATTGATTCGCCGTGCAGCTCTTTATGAATACATTTTCTTACTGTCTTTGTTTTGCATTTTCGTATCAGGTAGCAGCTGCAGCCATTGCAGACAGTAACGAATGTATGATGAAGTGCGAGAAACCTGCAAATCTCGATCATATTAAAGTTGGTCTAGGCCTTTATCCAAGTCACTATTACCGTGGTTATTAGCTGAGTAAGCAAGTGCAGCTATCTTGTTGGCAACGAAACCATATTTACTATCCCGTTTCATATAATTCATCGAAGCTCGTTCAAGCCAACCGTGATCCACTCATGGCCTTTTTTTCACATCAGATAACAGCTGCAAACCGTTGTAAACAGTTATGGAAGTATGATGAAGTATGTAAAGCCGGCACCCATATGTTGTATTACAGATGGCTTGAATCTGTCACCCATGTGTTGCCGTTGAGTGGTTATTCCATTAATCTGCATCTAAAAAATGATTCTTGTACTTTCATTTCAAGTCTCCATTACTCTCATTGGAAACCTCACTCTTGCCTATTATGAGTCGTTTATTTTCTGCAAAATCCTATCCATCTATTGAACTTATCTGCTGCCTACCTTGGATCTGATATTTCTTTTGCCCACATATTGGTCACATCGCTAGATAAAGGTGAAGAAACGAGTTATGGAATGAACCACTGATGCTTTTCAGATAATGTCATGAGAGCGTCTGAAAAAAAATCCTGCTGGGGTTCCATTTCAAGAAATATGTTAAAGCATTTCTTATGAGTTAAAACCGCACTCTTATTGCTATTCCTAGAATTAGAATTTTGGAAGAGCCATCAAGCCTTCTATGTCCTAGAGATCATCTACTCGGGTAACGGATTTTCTCCCCGATTGCGGCATTCTCCCTTGCGGCATGCGGCAAATGTCACTACAATTACCGTACCCACCCCGCCTCCCCGCCAATCGATAGGACGCAATATTTTCCGTAGATTGCCTTTCTTCTTCATTAGATTTGATCGTTTTTCTCTGATTCTTTTTCGTTTGTATGTTTATTAGACTTGTTTAATTAGAATGACTCCTCCTATATTAGCGACGATCAAGACCGCATTGGAATTGAAGAGAGCGGCCAATCAGTTCGAATAATTAAAGGACTTCCTACCTCACAAATTGCGCGCTCCCAGCTTCCATCGCAATCGTGCGGTACGCGGCGGGTGCTGCGTGCGCGACGCCGCTTTCAGGGAGAAGATTCCGGACTCCATCTACCCGAACGGCGTATCGTGATCGCTGCACCCGATCGCACGCTCTGAAAAGGAAGATTTGGATTTTCCGGGTAGGATTGCTTTGAATGCGACGAAACGAGTGCAGTATGCCGTGGGAACAGCCACCCTTTCACTAAACTACTTTTTACTGTTTCTCTGGTTGAATACTCAACCTGGGAAACTGGTTGAACACTCACTCTCTTTGCGAGGTCTGCTTGCTTGCTGTTTAAAGATCGGATGGCTCTGATAAGATACTTTAGTAGAAGTTTTCCAATAAGTTCATCTCTTTCAAGTGGTATCAGTACATAGATGGTCTCGAATTGGAACAATCTGCAAGAATTAATCACGACGTCACGTCACTATAAAAATATCATGTTCAAATAACACCGTTGAATGTGCGGAGTAGCGACCCTCTATAAAAGAAAGCTCGAGAAACAATAGATTCAAGACGTGTGATCGGTGAAACCGCAATCAGGGGGATGCGTTCGTTTTCGCGACCTTCTCTGCTCTCTCGCAGTAGTATAATGCTCTTCTGGCCAATTCCTGTTTCATTTCAACTTTTTCCAACAACATTGCAACACATAAGACCAGCATCCCACTCACCTCGGTACTTTTTCCCTCCTTAGCCAAACGCCCAAAACTCTATTCTCCCAGCTCAAACCCATTTCTAAGCATCATTGAAGCCAAGCGCCTTATCCTTCTCTTCGCTCTGGTCATTAACATTGAAGACACAGAGCACAGCCATGTAGTCCCTTTCAACCAAAGTTTCCATTTCGTTATTCCAGTCACAATGTCCACTGGTTTTTTTTCGATGTCTAGAACAATTTTTTCAATGTTTCACTTTGAATAAATTCACAATCGCTTATCTACCAGGGAGCCTCATCGAACTCTAACGAACCCCACCTGATGTTTCTTAGTGTGAGGGCATAGATGGACAGAAATTGGACACGTTTTGAGCAGATTTTGAGCCTTGTCCTCTCCGAATGGTTTTTCGACAGCATTCTAAACCAATTTCAGTCATTGTTCTTTCTCATTGAGAATTCTTCGACTTGTTCCGAGAGTTGATTATAGAATTGAAAAGTTTCAATGTATGTGGCCAGTTGTGCAAGGAACTAATCCTTCATTCCGGCATATTTCAGCTTTTTCGTTGTTCCAATGTTCGCAGGCGTCGGCGTTTCTTGCGAGGGACTCTTGTGGCGGGGTACGCGTTCGCGTTGATCCTTCGTCGCCCACACTCTATAGGCTGCCGATAGAAGGGTGATGACAGAACCTGGAACACCTGTCCCAAGTTATTCTACTTTCATTTCCTCACCGCCTCAGATTTTGCTGTCTTTTCGGTTCGTAAACTTCAACTTCAGCTTTCAACTTCATTTGAAGAATCAATCACCAATATTTTCTTCTGTTGCGATTTGCCCCCGCTCCTAAAAAGGAATTTTTTCCAGATTGGTTCCCTCGTCGTACTTCTTTGTGATCAGCTGAGATTGAGAATAATCAAATTTTTAATGAGAGGTTAAGGCACTTTTAGACTTTCGTGATGAACTTTCCACCTTCAGTATTTGGAGCTTTTACAAGAGGTTAGAACTTTGTTAAACGCCCGCAACACCGTTGTAATCAGTAGCGCTTTTCTTCCATTCTGCATGTACTTGAGAACACATTTGCATTTTGCAACTTGTTTTGGGGTGTGGTATTTTGTATCCGAACGGCTTGCCGCGTTGTCATACCCGATCACCCGCACTCACGCGCTGTGAAGTGGAATATTTGAGCTCCCAGTGGAAGGTTACGATAACTGCCGTAAACCGCTGCCGCTAGGGGATTGGTGTGCAGAATCCGCTATCCTATGCTTTACTTGTAAAACGCTAAGTGTACTTTTCTCCTTTGAGGTCTTATGAATTCGCTTGATATTCTTCTCTGGAAATTGAAACGCCTCTCGCTACTGCTTTCCTTACGTTTCGTCGTTGTTTTTCCACCAGGTGCCTAGAAGCCACTATACATGGCTGCTTAGACGTAGCTGTGCGTCGCCTTCTGTTTGTTACTATACTCCAGTGCGTTCTATAATTCCTCAAGAGAGCCTCCTCCCCTGCTACCTTCTAAAACACTTTTCATTTCAAATAAAAAAATTTTGACTGGTTTCCGCGATCTATAAAACGAACATAAGAGGATAGAGAAATGTTTTGATAGGTGAGTGGCAAACCGTTGGTTTGTCCGTTTGGCCAGATGGCTTACTTAGCCCGTCGGTTGTCACACTATACAAGGGAATGTTATACTCTGGTGAGTGGACTAGTATAAATTTGTTAAGGGAGTGTGCTGAATGCTTAGCTGAAAGACTGTGATGCCACCGAAGGCAGATCCTAAAAGCAAGCCCAATGACCCGCGAAGCAAATCAGCTGACAGTCGTTGGAATGTGGTCGGCAAAAACTTGACAAGTGCAGTCTCAAAAAGTCTGCCGACTATGAACAGAAAGGTAACAGTGGTTTTATATCTTCAGGTATCACGGTAATTCTAAGGCAACAGTATTCACGAAACGTAATGCATAATATGATTAGGTTGGTAAACCTTTTTATAGATTAGAGTGACGGCTGAACTTGCTTGATTTATTCAAATGTTAGAATAACGCTTCCCAAAGCGGCACTGTTTATTTTAAAAATTCCTATTTGTTGTGACGCACGACTGGGATTAAAGCTTATGAAAGCTAATACATAATATGATCAAGTTGATAATTCTTTTTTAGTCAAGTAGATTTTTCTCATCAGCAGTAAGGTGGTTTTCATTACGGGCAAATCAATTCTTCTTTTCTCCTCGAAAATATTCAGTGGAGTGTCTTTGAATTAGTGACTGAATTTAGAGTAAGGCATGGAGCTGGAATAATTTTCAGGGTGCATAGTTATGGGACATTTACGATATGAAAGAGTGAAATTCACATTCTACAGTGCTTACTGCTCACACGACCACGTAAGAGTAAATAACAGTGCTAGAATGAGAGAAACTTCAGGGGGCAGTTAACGGTTCCGTCACGAAGAGTAATGCTCCCTCCAACACTACAACCGTAAACACTGAAAAGAAGAAGCGACGACGGAAAAAGAGACCTGAAGAGGTTAGCTGATTGGTGCTGGTGATTGGGTTTGATTACACGTGCCACGAAATGCCCGTAATTGCAGCAATTCGTGCAGCCCGAGCCACCGAAGCCCCGAATCGTCATTACCAAAGAGGATAAACGTAACAAGACCCTCTGGAGGCATATCATCTGGCTGATTGTTCTATTCGCCTATTCGCTTTTAGGAGGCCTCATTTTCAGCGCCATCGAAGGTAGGCTTATGTGAAGAGATGTTGCAGAAAATTTCTTTTAACTTCTAACGGATTATGAACACCAGATCACAGCTTCCGTGTGTTCATAACCTCCGAACTGAAAGGAATCTGTCGCTTTTTGTTTTCTGCCGTCATGCCAGTGGAGTTGATGTAGTGGCAAGCGGCATACTGCAATGGTCTATGCATGATCCGGGAAGCCGATCTCTTTTCGCTCCCGATACCCGCTTGGGAAAACTGAACCGCAAATCCCTCCGGGTTCCGTTAATTGGTACCTAAACCGTCTTAGAAATTGACTTGTACTGTGACTTGGTATATCAGCTGACCTCCGTAAGTCATTGTATGGGGGACGGATCTCGAAATAGTGTTGGTAAACGCAAAAGACTTTATCCTTTAGACTTTCATATGCCAACACCTTATTCTTCACGAAATCAAAAATTTCGCAGGTGGCTACGACCGGTCATTCCTAGTCGTGGAGTACGAGAAGAACATGGATATTTTCAAAAGGCGTCGTCACTATCAAGAGCAATTGTTTAGAAGGTGTTCTTATAAAAAAACTTTCTGAAATGGTATTGTGTAAAAATGGCATTACCGAATGCCTATCGTCACAATATAGCCCTTTACATTCAAATCTTTCTTCTGACAAGTCCGTAGTTAGCCGGCATGCTCCAGAAATGCTCGTTTAAGGAGGTCCATTGAGCGTTTCAAAGCTGAAGATATCTGGCGATGGGGTGAGCCAACGTCTTGATATTCCATTGAAGTCTCAAAGGATGCGCGGGTAAATGCATGTGTTCTGATGTGGCATGAAATGCCACAGGGGTCTCCTAGCGTGACCTTGATAGCACAATTTTCAATTGATACATTCCGATCGTAGCTGTGGTGGAACGATGTCTCCTACTTTGACTAGAACCAAATCTGAGTTTTCGGTAATAATTTCATCAAAATCGTCACAAATAGAACTGCTACTTTATGGTGCAGATTTCGAGACATTGACTCTGATAAATCAATCAGCAACAATCGTCGAGGTGCGACTCTTGAGAACTACAAGCTGCAGCTGGCGCGACATGCTCTCGCGTGGTAAGATAGACCGCTTCAACAATTTCATATGAAAGCTTTACTGTGTTTGAATCTGACTCTTTGTGAAGGTATGAAAGCAAGCTGGGCGTCATTGTCGAAGAGCCAATGATGATGGAGAGCAAGTGGACGTTATGGGGAGGCGTTTATTATGCAGCAAGTCTCTACACTACCATAGGTATAACTAATGCCTACATTGAGATCACACGACAACGCAGAAGTCACGAAATGCTCGCTTTCCAATAAATTTCTTTGTGGATTACTGTTCGGACAATAGCGTGTTTCAAAACTACGGGTGCCAAAATTAAGGAATTTCAAGGCAAAAATGGCTGATTAGTTTTACTTCATTCGCTATTGAACAGTTGCACAGGTAGGTAGGTTTTCTTGCAATATGCATAGTTGCGAAATAAGACTCTCATCACCTCTCAGATGGTAAAGGCTCATTCAATGCCAATTGCAATCATTAGCATGGAAGAGGCGGGCGCATCATAAAAAATTTGTGATCCGATCAATGATCGTACAAGAGTCTATTAGACGATACAGAAAGCAGAATCAATCATGGGCAAACCTGGAAAGGGTGTAAGGACCAGTATTACCAGAGATAAGACTATTGAAATAGCCGGTTTGGTAGTCGATTGGAATCCTGGATGACCCATAAGAAGGATGGTAACGGAGCAGGTCCTATTAAAGTAGTCGGTGGGGTGGACTGTTGGACAGAAATTTCATTGCTATTCTTCTCGTACATCGAAATGCGATTTCATTTCTGATCTCGGCAAGCATGAACGTGTCAAAAAATTCAGAAGATTGCTAACTTATTCAAATTGAATGGCGCATTCCTCCATCGTTTTCTCTAACGAGAAAGTTTTCACGGTAACGCCAGTCTCTAAGAAATAAAACTGTTATATAAAAGGTGTTATAAAAACTGCAAACTTGTGTGTACTGTGAGAGGCACGGGCGTGGTAAAACACCGTTGGTTCCGTCGGTAACGGGGTGAGAATTGGAAAGAGCGTACACTTAGGATGCATACTGATAAACCTACTGAAACATTGATCCGGCCCCGCTTTCTAAAACAGCCCATGTTTCTTCCAGCAGGACGGTGTTTCACCACACCGACGCATGCTCGAGGGAAAATGGTGCAGACGTCCGCGTTTGAATTCCTTGAAAGCAAGATTCAACAAGGGCTGGGAGGAAGTGGAGGAGGGCATGTGAGCAACATGCGAGAGTTCGAGAATAATCACCGGGCCTCTATCCGTACTAACGGGCGGCATTTGGAATACCAGTTTGGCTATGCACGCTAATGCGCGCAGTATATGTCGACGGCCACTTATTGACGATGGAGTCATTCAGCGGAATGTTAGATAATCAGAATAAGATAGTTCTCTCTAGATTCGAACGCTGAACTGCTGAGAGCATCACGCTCGATATATTTGAGCAGAGTTATTAGTGGTTGATCATAGCTCCGTCCACCCTAGTGCAAACCCTTCCCACGGTAAACTTGACCACCCTTCTTTTGTCTGCTCTGAACCATTTTTTCCGCATTCCAAAAAGTTTTTAAAGAGATGAATTTTTGGTCTTAGCCCCGCTTTCCTGTGCATGCTCCGCCCACTTCGGGGAATACATTTGTTCCATTACCTCTATCCACTTTTTTCCCGTATTCTAGGACGTTTCTGAACAAAGATCTCTTGATCTAAGCCCCGCCCACTTTGGCGCCAACCCCGCCCACTTCGAGGATTTGACCACATTTGTTCCATTACCTCTTACCACTTTTTTCCCGCATTCTAGAACGTTTCTGAACAAAGTTACACTCATTTTTTAAAAGTAGCTTCTATCTTAACGCACGCCCCGCCCACCGTGGGCAGGGCTTTGCTACGCCTACGCATGCCTAGCACGCATGGGGCCTTGGTTAACCCTTTTGCTTTTTTTCCTGGCCTCGATGCCTTCGTTGAATCGAGTTATGAATCTCTGTGGAAGGTACCGCCCACTGCGAGAACGCTCCGCCCACCGCCGGTAAGCTTCCCTTATTTTAGTTGTAGACCCGTTCCTCACCTTTGCACATTTTTTCCCAGCGTGTGGACTGTTATGAGACCGAAATAGAAGAATTAGTCCATGACCCCGCCCAATCCTGGCGCATGCCCCGCCCCTTGGGGGAGGAGCTCCGCCAAGCTCACATGTGCTCTGTTGCACTTACCCTATGCTCAACCTATTCCAAACTTGACCCGACTTCTCCAGGTGTTACTTCAGGTTATCTCGAATTTCCGTACAGACAGACAGACAGACAGACAGAGCGCTTTATATATAGTAAGGATGATTGTAGCTTGTTATTGTGCTTAGCGTAAGCAAACGTGCGTATGGATCCCATTGCTACTCTCAGTTTAAAAGCTTAGAATACAGTGCAATATATAGGTCCCCATAATTTCGACACTTCCTGTATATACATACGTGCTTGGAGAATTCAACCTCGGTTATACATAGTTCAGCCTACGACTGCGCTTTTTGCTTATAAACATCACCATTTTTGAGTACTGTAACGATTGACACGCGCAACAATGCAATAGGTTTTTCTTCCCTTAAATTCATTGAAGACATGGAGGAAGGAAAGGTAGAATAGAAGAGAGGCAAGAAGCAAAATTGAAACTCTTTTTTCTACTTGCCCTAGAGTTACAGCGTTCTCCATGATTCTATGTACTTTCAATGGAATGAAGGGCAAAGGCTTTGACACAGATAAGGTTAACGAAAAGGGTGTTTGAACGAAACTTTAGTCTCCGATGAGCAACATGTGTTAGCCACTGACGTATATTAGTTGACTGCACTTACAGTGAACGTGCTGCGCTTTGAAATCTACAGATTTCCTCTACATGACCGTCAAACACATTCTTTAGGAGTTCACGATAGGTGTCAATTTCTACGTCCTTACTGCCCCTACCTTCATGAACCGCTTCTTGTCTATGCGAAACCCAATATAGTGTTCTCAAGTGCCAAAGCTCTTCGTTTCGAGCTTTCAAGCTGCTCTCCTTTCTTCAAATCATTAAACATGGATGTCTGTTACTATTATATTTTTAGGACCCTTAGATCCACACTAGGCCTCAACAGGATTACATAATGTGCTTTCATGACACATTTGTCGAGTGGGAGAATGTTGCAAAGGATTTTCTACGAAGCTACCCAATTATGCTATAAGTTTGTCAGCAAAACAAAACTGAAAGTTCGTTGTCTATCAATATTAGAGACAGAGAGAACGATTGCGATTGCCTAAGCAAGCTGCGAGATTGAATTACTTCGAAGGGTTGTGAATTGTTAGTGAGAATAAGTATTTCCGATTTCAATTCGGAAATTTCCCGGACGAAGATTACTGCATTTTTTTTAATTAATTTACAATGACATTTGCGAACAAAAATTGGTTAAAACAGTTAGGTCAGCGATATCTACGCTGTATGTGATGTAAAGTTACGTTTTCACGTACTAAATTCTTGGGGTTATTGATTTATTTGTTCTTGAAAATGTTAGTTTTGCTTCTGAATCGAGGTTGTTAGGTGGAAATCTTTATTTTGGCCAACGTTTCGACGGACTCGTCGTTTTCAAAGGCCTCACTTCCACCGCNTTTCATTTATTTATTTATTTATTTATTTATTTATTTAACTATTTATTTATTATTTTCTATTTACTGTGCACAGGATGCGCCATCGACACCGGGACAAAACCATAGCAATAATACCATAGTAGAACACGAGGTTCACGCAGAAAACAAAGCTCATGGGTTGCCATAAATAAAAGTCGAAACGAGAGAAAGACTAAAATAAGGAGCAGAGAAGAATGGAAAAAAGTTTCATAACGAACAGGAACCTATCCCATCAGGGATGGGCAACCGGCGCGCAATTCAAAGTAGAGAAGTCCACAGTGCAAGTAGTTTGAAAAGTAGAACAAGATGGTATCTCGCTACAATAAGCATCACACAGTGGCAGAAAGAAAAGTTAGGAGCGATAACGTTAAGTTAACGCAAGGACCAAATCCGGAAGAACAAGTCTATGAAAAGGACTTCCCCGGTCTAGCTTTCTCAGACGAGAACTGTAAGCCGGCATTGCTTTGGGGTAATCAGAAGGGGGAAAAGCCGGGAAGCACAAAAATCTGTCGAAAGTCGTTTTACTCGGGCTGTGTACTCGGTTACAGTATTCAGTGACCGAAAGATTAAAGGCTTTAGGCAGTGGAGAAATTGGATACGGCATCATCAATACGTATAACCCACTTTACAGGCTTAGAAATAGTAACACCAAGATCGGACGTATAAGAACTGTAACTGGACACTGGAACCCTGACCTGTTGTCTAGAGAAAGAATATTAATAGAGAATAATGAAGGAAGGCAAGTTTTATCGAAATTACGTTAAAGATTCATGACATCTGTCCATGTAGACATGTAATCAACCACACAGTCAAGGATTTCTCATGTCGCTGCAAGGTTACCATTATTCGACCTAACAGCGCCTTTTATATGATCGGCGAAGGCAAATCCTTCAGCGTTCAGATAGAAGAACAGGAGGGAGTTCCAGTGTATCAATATGTACTATTAGGTGGTTCGGAAAGAATTTGAATTTGTCCATTTATTCCTCTACTAACAAAGAAGATTTTCCAAAACAGTCTTTCATTAAAAAGAGTTTTTTGTTGTGCATCTTTTGATATGTTTTTTCTTTGTCTACGTTGCTTTTTATTTCAAGAAAAAAAGCTTGGTGGGAATAATGGGTACCGCATCAGCTGAGCGACGCAAACAGAGCAACACGAATGGCATTGACCGGAATTCTTCTTCGTTGCTCCAAGAACAGCGGTTTCTTCGACTCTATCGTTACATCAGATGAGAAATGGATCTGGACATGGACAACACAGCGCGAAAAAGACAGTGGTCAGACACTTCAAAACCTACTCTGAAACCGGATATACACGGCAAAAAGGTGATGCTCTGTGTCTGGTGGAACAGCAAAGGTTTGGTGTATTATAAAGTTCTGGATTCGAGTCAAACAGTTATGGCGAACATCTAAAAAGATCAACTGAACAGCGTGGATCAAGCACTGCGTCGTCAATGTGTCGAAACGACGTCGACAGCTCGTCCACATGTCGCGAAATTCACTTTGGAAACAATTGAGGAATCGGGCTGGGAGGTCTTGCCTCATCCGCCACTCAGTCCAGACCTGGCACCATCCGATTACCATCTGTTCCGGTCGATGCAGCACCCCTGGCCGAGAGAACGTTCACAAACCGCGAAGAAGTCCAACTCTAAGTGCCCAACTACTTTGAGTCGCAGCTGACTGAGTTCTTCGAAGGAGAAATCCATTTTTTGCGTATACTTTGGCAATAAGTCATTTAGAGCACTGTGGATTATTTTTTGAATTAATCTTGTTGAATTTCGTTTTTATAATAAAGTTTTTTTATACTCAAACGCGCATTTCTTTCCGAACAATCTAATATAATGAAGCGCTCACCCTTGTCTGTCTTTCTGTCTGCTACGATATTCGGTAGTGACTGAAGAAACACTCGGAAATTCGAGTCAACTTTGAAATGAGTCGAGCACAGGGTGAGCGCAACAGAGCACTTAAATATATCTAATAAACATAATTTATCAATATTCTCTAATAATATATAATATATATAATTTTTCAATATTCTCAATGAATAAAGGGCGCTCATGTACTCGTGGGTACTACCAAGACTTGCAATCAACTATGTAGAGGAATCCTTAACAAAACCGAACAGGTATCGAGGGGGAAGGTTGAAGCAATAAACCAACCAAAAACACAGAATTCTACACTGCTTTACATGGAATCGGCGTAATACTTGTGCTTCTGGACTCAGGTTATGGTAACTTCTTTCCACGTACCACATCTGGACGAATAATGTCGATGCTGTACGCGTTTTTCGGCATTCCCTTGGTATTTACAATACTGTGCGAATGGGGATTCCTCTATTTCACATGGATCGAATACGGCTGGAATTGGGTGAATGAAAAGTTCTGCCAGAAGTGAGTTTCTGAATTGAATTTCGCTGCCGAGAGTCGGGTTATTCAGTTATCTCTTTCAGAAGTTTGCAGCGACAGGTAGAGAAGCGGTACATGAGAGAGAGGTGAGTGCAACGAAGTATCGTCGTTATCAATAATTTTTCAACTAATAGCGATCGCTCACCGGTCTCTTTGACCCACCTGAACACAGAGATGAAAATTCGGTACGGCACTCGGCTCTTACAGTAATCCAACCCCATGTTAATAAGCAAATCTCCACCCGTCACATATACGACGCGTCTAAAAGGGGCTTCGGGCGAGGACACGGCGCGGCTGGTGTGTAGGCCAGAGGTTACTTCAAGAGACAAGTGCCCGTACTGAATTTTTGTTTCTGTCACCTGAACGGCCAACTTGCCATCTAGCGCGTCTTGTTTTACCTACAACATACATACATACATACATACATACATACATACATACATACATACATACATACATACATACATACAAACAGACACACCAAACTTGTGGTTTATATATAGAAGATAAAAAGATTAGCTAATTCAGAATTCGCCGTGTTGGTAGTGAGCTGTCGCTACACAGTATGTCGACGGTACCACTGCTGAGCGTGCATCGGACAACCAGTAACATGGTCAATACTACCGACCATCAGGTAGGAAATGAAATTTTCTCGATTTCCTTGTAAGGGATTCCACAAAAGAAACCGAAGCAATAAATACACGTTTCACACACGCAGCATCCATTGATTTTCTTTCCCCTTCTCGCTGCTTGTTTACTTCTTTACTAAGTTTTTTGTTTCGTTTGTATTTTCATCATTATTTGTATAATTCTACCTATACTTTTATTTTAGTCCACCATTTCTGATTATCTCCAATGCGTGGTGCGTAGCACTTTTCAAACAAGTTGAAATGAAGTGAGAACTCTGCTAAAATGATCTGTTGTCTTCTTCTACAGAAGGATCTCTCACGCTGTTTTGAATTCCGAGAAGCAAAAGTAATCCAATACCGATTTCGGTCCGAAGGCCTGAGCCTTAACACAATGATGGAAATCCATCCTGCTAAGGCTCAGGCCTTCGAACTGGATCTACTCCTGTCTGAATTACTTCTATCCCTTTCGCGAACAGTCAGTTGGCATCAGTTAGTTGTCCTCATGAAATGAGAACTTCGCTCGAATTGATGAAATTTCCTATGCGGTTTTATTTGAGTATATCACATTCATACTTCCCAGCAGTTGTAATCTGAGAGAGAGGGCTTAAAGTGTCCAAAATGTTTTGATGGCTGCCAAAGTTCTGTAGCCTTCCCACACTGCAGTTCATCGAGGTCAAATTGCATGTGATAAATTTTAAGAATTCCGTTAGGCTCGCTGTATCATTTCATTCAAAAAATGAGCCTCTAAGCATTTTTTCTATGAATGGACCAGAGATGGATTAACATTTTAGCGAAGACTAGCCTTTGCCACTTGCTCTGCTTCGATTTCTGTTCTATTTCAAGTAGGGTCAGGGATTGCCTTCATCAAGGAATTTGTAGCCGAATTGAGCTCTTGTAGCTTCTTCATGACTGAGTCTTTCACTGAGTCTTTCACATGTGTATATATATGAAAAAGCTAAATGTAATTCTAGATAGAGTCGAACAAGCCGCTAGGTGAACTCGACGTGGTATTGCCCGAAGAGGAGCAGGCCGAAACGGTGCCCATGAAAGCTGCACTAATATTTTTCTTTTTGTGGATCAGTCTATCTGCATTTATTGTCAGGTAAGGAGTCTGTGAAATTCAAGACATTACTTCCTAAAGTCACAATCTTCTTTACAGACTGTGGGAATACGAATGGTCATATTTCAGCGCTTTCTACTTCTTTTTCACTTCGCTGACTACTATAGGTTTTTTTCCTGGCATTTTCAAGTGTTGTATCACATAATAGCTGAAGCTAGCATAAACAGTGCAATGGTAAGAACCAACCTATTTACAAGTTCCGATTGTTGAATGGAACTCACGCAAACAACTGAGTCCTTCACTCAGAGGTCAGTGAGTTTCACCCACCCCTGAAATGATTACCCGAAGTACAGGGTGTCCCAAAATTATTGGCGCCGATTTACAGCAATATATTTCAAACTTCTCCGCTGCGAGAGATGATGGAATCTCTATGCACGTTAGCTAACACTATGTGCTACAACATGCTACAGTCGCCTTTAAAAATATCCCCCATGAGCGCGGATAGAAGTCAAAGTTTGTTCTCGTATTGATCGCATGTGGCACGAAGGTATCCTTCTCCATTTCTTCCCGGCCGTTCTTCAGCCTTTGCATTCTAGGACTCCAAACTGGGACTGCAAGCTCGACAGGTCCTCTTCTGACCACGGACCAGTCGTGGGGTCAAGTGAGTCAAGTTCTGGAAAATAGGATGACCATCCCTCTTCACCAATGAAGTCGGGCAGCTGTCGTCGGCACCACTCGCGGGCAAACTTCGCTCTGTGGGCTGGAGAAGCGTCCCGCTGGAAGTACTACGAAATGTTTCAGAAAACGCAGTCGGATCAATGTTTCATTTACTTCCATCAGTACGCCGTTTGAGTACTAGTCTTGGTCAATTTTCATGCCTGCACCGAAGAAACCATGAGCGGCTTACCCTTGCCAGTGATTTCCTCGGAAAACATCATTTTACTATTCTGATAGCAACCATTTTGTGAGATATTACACGCTAGGGGTTGCTTTCCAGAACGCGAACGTTTTGGTTGTTGAGGAATGGCTTTATCTCAAAAAGTTTTTTGACCAGAGAGAACGACGAAGGGTTGCGTGTCATCACTTTCGACTTTCTGCATTTTTGACCCGGCAGTATCTGTTGAGATCGGAATTGAAGCAAAATTTCTGCATACGATAGGAATGGCAGTGAAGCTTCTCCATGACATTCTTCCATCGCGATAATTCCTGTGAGCCGTGCCCGTTGACTTCCTTTTGATGGGTCACCCACGATCGCGACCGACTGGCAGACGGACCATTTTAATAGTCCCATCTTCAGAAACATTCTACCTTCCTACCTTTCCTGGTTTGTCTCTGATTCAGGCTTTTTTTCTGTATCGCTTAATAGCCTCCTATACGGTTATTACAAAAATCCCAAGGAATTTCATAATGCCCTTCCACCTCTCGCGTGTCAATGATTGCAAGTGGCATTGAATGAGCCTCCTCCATCTGAAAGATATTGGGAGTTCCACATCAGTAGCTATGCATATTGCAAGGAAATCTTTTTATGCAACTAATTAATAACAGGTTATGTGAATTTGATATATTATTTCTACCTTAAAGATTCCTTAACTTTGGCGCCAATAATTTTGGGACACCCTATAGGTAAAAACAACGTTCGAACAGCAGAAATTCATTTCATTCCTCGCTCACGTTCCAATGCCAAGCACACTTGAAATCACTATCTCATTCCATTCCTCCGCCTCATTGATGGAAAATGTATAAAAAAAGAAATTAATCACGATCACGAAAGGTCGATAGTCATCTTACAAGGAAAAGAGCAGTTCACGCCGCCGAAAGCGTGAAAGCAATCTCATCTTGGCTTCGGCACAGTGATTTCTTTTTAGGACTCGGTGACGTGGTCACAAAAACTCCAAATTTCATTATCCTTAATCTAGCCCTCACATTGGTTGGATTGTCAGTCGTCGGATTGTGCCTAGCGATCGTCCAGGTCCGAGTTCGTTTCTTTCAAAATCTTTTCTGGCGAATTCCACAACAAAGTTACTCAAGGCAAAAGTCCGCTTAGTCTTTGATCGACTGATCCGTTCAATCGATTCCCAGTATCGAATACGACAAATCGATCCAGATGTTGCTACAATGACGTTAATCCCAGACGAAAAAGAAGGCATTAAACGGTCTGTGTGGGTCATGCCTTCTTAATAGTTCAATCTCCATGACGTCGTTGTCCACCGGGTTTTTAGGTTGATTGGGGCTCAACCTCTTCAAGATCGAATTGTTTTTATTTTCATGGATGAGCACAAAAAATGCATGCTGAGAGATCGATGGAAGCTACGCAGCGGAATGGTGAATCGGTAAGAATTCGAAGGCTACTGCGCTTGTATCGATGTGCCTACCTATCGTTTGTTGTTTCTTCTAATGAACCCTATGGGTGACCTGTTTTCATGAAACTACTCTTCTTCCTATTAACGTGTATAGAACGTCTGCTAACCACTGTCGGTTTGATTCGCACAAAGCAGTAATCCAATCATTTATATTGCTGTGTCTTGACGGAAAGAACATGAGTGGAAGTGCCACGGTGTGACTTGTCAAGCGCAGGGGAATTCCAAATGATAGGCAATATAATTTATTCCAACATAAGGAAGCTATGTGAGACTAAAGTTAGGAGCCGTCGGAAGCCGATCCAACAGTGGCAGTGTAGTTCCATACAAGGCCAGGACAGCAGCTCAACCAATAAACTGTTCTGTTATTTTCATAGGATACAAACTTAATGGAATCTTGCTCGAACAAGCTGGCATCTTCTTAGACCTTCTTCAGTTAGAGGCAGGCTTGTCTCAAATAGCCATCGAGACCTTTCCAACTTCCATAGAACATCGAGAACAAGCGAGGCAAAGGTTACAATACTTTTCCAATTTTACATGAATAAAGAGTGCCATGGCAAAGATTTGAACGAGAACCGACTATTTACCTCCCTGTTCATAAATCCTTCTTCAAATTCCAAAATATATCATTTTCAGCATCACACAGACCTATCCGTCCAGAGCAGACAAGTATGTACAAACTGGAAATCGTGTCTACGACCAGCCAGGGCAAATTGGTAGCGCTGAAGAGGATGACGAAGATTGGGATGAGGTAGAGTTGATTGGTAGAGTTGAAGTTTATTAGTACTTGCGGCGCTATTTTCTCGTGAACGCTTCACTTTCCATTCCAATGTGTTCTTGGCTACACCTTTATTTTTCCTGCTTCTTTTTTGCCTCTTAGATATCAAATCTTGATTGATCCAGATACCGTCGCCTTTTCATATGGCCGCCTTCTTACTTACTAGCTCTCTTTCTTTCTTATCCACGTTTAACTTACATTAGGACAATCCCCAACAGCATCTTGTAAAATAGAAGAAAACTCACTCCTTAAAGACACGAAAGTTCGTATTCGTACCGAAACAGCTTTTCGTAAAATTAATGAAATCTGGATTAATTGAAAATGGCAGCCACACCAAATGTAGGTTTCGTTTAGTTCGAATCCAACTATTCCTTCTTCCTAACCAATAGCAAATCTTCTGTAATAATTCTTCTATCTAACCAGGAGTTAAACCAACAATTAGATAGGACCATTGCGAGAAAGCCTGCAGTTGTGCAAAATTGGTTTAGTCGACCCGTGACGTATTTTTATGCCGCATGCACACTACTACCTATCAATGACAACACCTACAAGAGAAAGGATCTCTGCCGTCAACAACTTGGTACTGCTTATGCACATAGAAAATTGCGTTACAGTAAACACTCACCAGCACTCAATTTTTTGCAGTTGTACAGGTTTAAGTGGTGCTGCCTTTAGGAAGACGAGAGCGACGAAGACGAGGATGACGTCGAATACGACGAAGCAGGCAATCGTATAGTTCCTCCAAGCACAAAACGATACATCTACACCGTATTCGACTAGTCGATCACGAACTTTGGCTGGTCGTACATCGCCCTCGATCGGGTACCGTCTAAGCTTATTTACAGCAACCCAGCCATGTATCCAATGCTCAAATCACCACCTCAACGATCTCATGACTAATCTTTCAAACCAGCCTGACGTACTGTGCTTTACGTTTCTTCAATACAATAAATTTTTCAAAGTTTCATACCTCACAAAAACAGAGATTCGACCACTGTGTGGTTGGTAAAGGAACCGAACACGAACACAAAAACATTTTTGCTGAATTACAACCAACACAACTAGTGAAAAAAAAACTTCTGATAACAACTATAAGTCAGAATTGGAGTATCACGTGTAAGACAAATACAAACAGCTCAGCATTATTAAAGTCTGTCAGATGAAACGAATCGCGATGCTACACTGTACCATCAGATCCATATGAGGAAAAGTCCATAGTTTCCGTTGTTCATGAAAAACTCGTATTGAACAAAAAACAAATAATTGCATGAAAGGAAAATGAGACTGAATTGGATCAAGCAACTGGTCTGGCACGTCCCAATGGGAGTGCCGGTGGCGGCATGAGTGCACGATCTTGATCCTCCTGAAGCAAACGTATTATCGGCTAAGTGAATGGAATCTGAGAAAAGCTACTCACTCCCTAAAAAATTAGCCCAAGTACCAAAACTTTAACACATGTTCTCAATAATTAACCCTTTGTTGCTTTTTCGTGACAAAAAAAAACTCATTTTGTTGAGGTCAGTTTCTTCACTAGGCTGATTGACCAACTCTATGAACCACTACTCTATACGCACACATTAGAAACGTAACAAAGCATATTGAAGTTCTTGATTCTTGTGAATCAAGTGCTCAATGAAAAGTGGGTTGTGGAGCAAATTGTGTCTTTGAAGTGTTAAAGAGGAACCGATTTACCTAGTATAGTGCGGGCACGGGTCTATTTAGAGGTAAATAGGAACCAGTGTTGTCACTAATTAGGAATGCCAGTGCATCTAACAAAAAGTCAGAAAAACATTCAGTCAGAGAAACAACGAGTGGAATGGTTTGAACATTAATTTTTATAAATCAAAAAAAAAGTAGAAATCCATGACAGAACATGAACAATGAATAAAGAAGAAAGACAAACCTTTTCTATTCCATTTGTTACTTCATCACACAACTCGTCATCGAGACATCTGGAAAGAAGGAGAGATCGGCATATTAACTTAACTTAATGCTCAAGTATATCCAAAAACATCTGCCTTGTATGGACCACTTTAAAGCTATGATCAAAGGTTGCGTGGACAGCAGGATCAAAGAGATATTCCCAAGAGGAAAAACACAAGCTGATTGAACGAAAGTGCTCGAAAGCATTCGACAATATGAACAAATAGCAGCAGTGCGCCTCCTTATGTGTGCAGTAAGCAGGCACACATAACGAGACGCAAAAAATTGATACTACGCACGTGGGGCTCGCCATCCTTCTGGTCGTTACTGCACTATTAACCGCGCTAGTAGTGGGATAAATAGAGCTCTCAAGACATTAGGCTGTCGGAAAAACATATGCGGATTGTGATAATTGCGGACCTTCCCAATGGGCTTCAGATGCCTTGCTACGTTTGCATGATGCACTCCACGTTGATTTTGAAGGCTTTTATCGCGTGAAGCAAGCTTTGAGAATCAAAACTTAATCCTCTCCCCAAGCACGGTTAATATTGCAATTAGCTTCGACTGCAGAGCGGCCCAATTTGAAGACATCACTGAAGATGCCTAGGGTGATGACTGACATTGGTTCGTATGATTAAGAGGCGAAACGAACCAATTCTTGCTTTTCTCGTCTTCTCTTTCAAGTTAGCCTAAGACTTTTGTCTCTCTCTATTGAACTCTGGAAGCATGATGACGTGGAAATCGAGCTTGTCCGTAAGAGATTCAAGACCACGCTGATACGCAAATATCCAGTGAAGAAACAAAAGAAGCTTATGTCTTGGAGCCAAACAATGGATTTTCAAAACAATATGTGATCGGCTATGTGATCGCTCGCACACTTGTAGAAAACTTGGCGGGAAATGTTGCGGCATTAAATCCGGAATGATTTTTTGCGACAACTTAATATTATCTCACCTATTAGCCTTTCGCGAAAAGGAACAGTAGTGATTAAATGGGATCCACAACAAACAAAACTTTAATTTTAGGATTTTAAGCTACTTTCATCACCTCGCCCGTTTGAAGATGCACGCGGCAAGTCGCGCGGCAAAATTCGTTAATATCTGGATTACCTTGGCGTTTATCATTGATGAGCGGTTTGGAGCACATGATCAGCTAGCTGATCATGATGTAGGACCTCAAATTTTGAGTAATAACAATTTTTACCCATCATAGATTTAGTGGACAACAGGAAGAAAAAGAAAGGCAAGAGATAGAAGGAATGGAAGGTAGGAGAGCTTCAGGGACATCTCATCCTCACGATCAACTGGTCATGCTAATCCGCTCTATTTTAGACCCATGCCTCAATGGTAAACGCCACAGCCGTCCAAATCGCTACGAAATTTGTCTTGTAATTTACTGCCTGGCCTGCATCTCCAAAAAGGCGAATGTTTCGTCTGACTAGATGGCAAAAATAGGGGACTTTTGGCTCCATCTTCATAAAAAAACGAAAGTTGAGTAATCAAAAGCGTGGCCATTTCGATATAAAAACTCTAGAATTTTCTCTCGGTTTTGGAACTAGCTTAAAACTAGCTCGCTATATCGAAGCGAGCGATTTGAAGAACATTTAAACGACACTTTTATAGGAAAGCCGCATGTTTGAGTTGAGCAGACTAGTAAATTAGTAATGCTGAACCTGTTACGTTCTCAAAACTGTCTGGGGTACCGTAAAAAGACAAAAATGAAACTAACATCTGAGAGCTTGTGAATATAGTGGCATCTCAATAACTTTTACAGTTGCTGAAACTACCTATCTTACATATCCTTCAAGCTCCTCGACGTTACAAGTAATATAAGAATGCAATGAACGCTATAGACCTTTTTCGGGACATTCATACATAGATATAATAAAGAGAGACCAAATAATACGAAACTCACGACGAAGACTGAATCTCACTCACTTTTCGGAGCGCTTAATCTTGCGTGGTCGCCCTCGTTTCGGTTTGTCACCGTCCGTAGAGGGATCCACCTTTCTACCATTAAGTGCTTTGCGCATTGACGATGTTGAGGAGGCGGGCGATGGTGAAATTGGTGTTATGGGTGAAGGCACAGACGGCTGCAACATATTATTTGAAACACAAAACTGATACTCCAGATTGCTTAACCCCTTGACGACAATGGCACCCTTGGTGGGCGCCACTATGACTGGCGCATGGGACAGTGGCACTCACAGTTGACAGTATGACAATGGCAATTCACGACCTGGAGCAATTACAGAGTTTCCATGGAAGTCGCAATTCATGAATTGATTCTCGAGGGTTCGAATGTTATATGAACTCATCTTGCGTACTTCATTTCCAAAGTTCCTATTCTACATTGACTCCGAACCCAAACCCCATTTCTAACCTTTCGTTACATATAAATATAAAATAGCATTTTGATACTCTACTATAGGTGAAATATTGCTAAATCGGTAAGCCGCTGGAAGAATCTTCTCTTGGGATAATGGCAACTGGTGTGTGCCAGTTGCAAGCGTAAGGAGGGCTCCCATGGGTGTGCCACGTCGAAATCCTCAATGTCGTCAAAGGGTTAATAAATTGAAAAGAAAAACTTCTATCTGCAATAGCATACTATAAAGCATTGCAGTGTAATTTCGGCTCGAAACAATTCCTTTATTGTCAATAATGATCTTGAATAGCTTTTTTTTAAATCCACAATGGTTATACATATCTCTAAAAACCAAAGAAGCGATTAACTCAATTTGAATAGCTGTTTTGAGCAATCAATAGAAAAGCTTATTAATATACAACACTAACTTACATATTGCAATGCAGGAGTGATGGACTGCGCCTGCCCAGGCATGACCATACTAGATAAAAGCGGGGAGTAGGGAATGTTGAAAGCCGCAGATCCCGGAACAGAGATCGCATACGGTGACCCATTGGTTGACGGAGGAATCCCTGGCGCTGTAGTGCTACCAACTCCCATGGGAGAAATAGGAGTACAAGGGCTGCAGACTGGACTTGCACTCGAGCCGGGAGCCACCGTTGGAAGGCCAGCCTGCAAAAATAATATTGTGGAGAGTCATAAGATTCAACCTGTAAAACTTAAAAAAAGAAACATGAGTATATTGTTAAAATCTATCTGCAGAGCAACAAATTGAAGTAGCCAGTCCACAGAAATTTAAAATATGTGCTGAACTAGACAATAATGAAAACGGTACTTCAAACCCCTAATTAAATCGACAATCAGTTCAATGAATGATCACAAGATAGCACTCGAGCACAGCACACACATTATGAGGTTCAGTTTAGTGTGTGATCAAGGAAGAACACTGTTCATTTTCACAAGTTCTATTACCTCTTCTTTTTAAGTCATACTTTCAAAATTATCCCTTTATCCGCTCCTTTCCTTTAATTGCGTAGTTACGGTCAGATGTGGAAGAACTTTCATGAAGATTAATTCAGTCTCCACCCCTATTAAGGATAAGCCAGTTATTAACAAAGGATTAAATTGCTAATTTTGTAAAGATTGAAAACGCTTAAGTATTTATCAAGCAACTTTCCTATATTATCGAAAACTAGACTGATTATTTTCTGAAAAACAATACGCTCAAATAGAGAAAACTGCAGATCATTCTCTTGAAGCTCTATGCTTTGCCTAATGAAAGTAGACTTGAGAAAAATGAATTACTCTGGTTTCAATCGAACCCCTTTTTGGGATGTGCCTGTTAAAATCAATCGCAGTCGCATTTTGAAAGCGTAAGTGGCCTCCATACAAAGGCATGCGGTGTTCGGCCGACGCACAAGTCAGCACTCTTACCCTGGAGTCAGGTACCAATTATACGACCCCGAAAACATGGAAAACTTGGATGGCTAAAGCGAGTGTGAATCAGATTAACGAGTGAGGATTCGATTCCCGAACTTTGCGGGTGGTGTTGCGTGCCACTGCACCACTTTTGCCCTTTTCTAGAAGAAATTTGCAAAATATTATTCTTACCTGCAGTAGTTGCATCTGCTGTCGTGAGAGACTGGGATCGAACTCAGATCCCATCCGCCCAGGAACAGCCACTTCCTTGAAAATGTCTGCGAGGAAGTGAAAATGTCGATTGGCCATCATTGCCTGCTTCCTATATAAACACAAAAACGATAATTTAAGCTCGAAAGAACATAACGTCTAAAAACCTAATCTTTCCTATATATACTTACATATGAGCTGGTGTAAGGGTGCGGGAGTTGCTCATCTGCGTAGCCTGTGCGGCCGCCTGCAGCAAAAAAAATTAAGAATGAGTTGTCGAATAAGCAAAGAATTTGCGGCTGCGGAGAAGATCAAGGTTTGAGGCGAAGAAAAAATTCTTCATTGAAAAAAAAGGCTTTTCGATTATTCAAGGATATACACCAGAATTCTTCGCAAGTTCTGAAAAATAATTCATGAATTCAGAATCCTACCTAGCTTAGTTGAGGAAAGCTGTGTTAAACGCATCATAGCTGATGGTGTAAAGATTCACAGTCGACAACGTCAAAAATCTATGTTACATCGCTTCAAGAAGCCATTGAGAAAGTAGTTAATTGGATTGAAGGGATTGCTCACGCCTCAGATAAAACATCAGTTCCTAACATAAGAGTATCTCAAGGTTCTGCCAAGCATGACGTTGGTGGTTGCAGGCGATAGTCCATAAAGCCGAGTGGAGGCTAGCACAGCTCTCTAGAAGCATTACACGAAGGATCCTTGTGTTCTCATTGAGGCTTACATAAATTCTTAATTGTTGCGTATTCCTCCATTTCGGTGTACGGATCTATAGTCTTGAACCCATTTACCAACTGGGCTATGCACGCTAACGCATGCATTTTATGTCGACGACCGCTTATCTACGATGGAGTCATTCACGGGAATGTTGAATTATCTGAATAAGATAGTTCTCTCTAATTTAAACGCTGAACTGCTGCGAGCTTGATATTTTCATTTGAAGGCACGGTTCGCGATGATTCAATGGGCGGGTGTGTCGATGATGAGTCGGCCTCTCATTCGACGCCATGTCAGACTGCCTGACGTGACATTGAATGAGAGGCGGGCACGTCATCGACACACCCGCCCATTGAATCATCGCGAACCGTGCCTTTGAGCAGAGGTATTAGAGGTTGACCATACCCTCGTCCATCTCAGTGCAGACCCTTTCCACTATAAAAACTTGACCACCCTTCTTTTAACTGCTCCTATCCATTTTCTCCGCATTCTAGAAAATTTTTGAAGAAATGAATTCTCAGTCCTAGCCCCGCGCTCCTGCGCCAGCTCCGCCCACCTCGAGGTCTTAGCCACATTTGTTTCAATACCTATAGCCACTTTTTACCCGTGTCCAAAACGTCTCTGAGCAGGGTTATAAACTTTTGACCTAAGCCCCGCCCACTTTAGTGACTACCCAGCCCACTTCGTGGGTTTGACTACATTTGTTCGATTACTTCTAACCGCTTTTTCTCGCGTTATAGAACGTTTCTGAACAGAGTTATCAAACTTTGATCTAATTCCCTCCCACTTTGGTGCCAACCCCGCCCACTTCGGGGATTTGACCACATTTGTACCATAATCTCTAACCCCCTTTTCCCGCAATCTAGGACATTTTGAAAAGGTTTGAAGATGTGATCTAAGCCCCGCCCACCTTAGTGCCAGCCCCGCCCACTCCGAGGATTTGACCACCTTTGTTCCATTACCTCTAACCACTATTTTCCCATTTTCTAGAAGTTTCTAAACAGAGTTATGAAAATTTGATTCAAGCCTCGCCCACTTTAGCGCCAACCCCGCACACTTCGAGGACTTGACCACATTTGGACATTGCTCCATCACCTCTAATTTTTTCTGGCCTCAACGCCTTCGTTGAATCGAGCTATGAATCTGTGGAAATACCGCCCAATGCAAGACGACTCCGCCCATCGTTGGCAAGTTTCCCTTATTCAAATTGTTAACCCACTCCGCTAGGCTCACATGTGCTCTGTTGCACTTAGCCTATGCTCAACCCATTTCAAACTTGACCCGATTTCTGCAGGTGCTTCTTCAGGTATAATAATATATCGAATTTCCGTACAAACAAACAGACGTACGCGAGCGCTTTATGAAGTAAGGAAGGGAAAAGCGATTGAGTCAATTCAAAATAGCTTCACTGTGAAAGTTTTTATACAGCCCTTGGCTTCATTTACAATTCCAATAGCAGGTCAGTTACCAGAACAAGATTCTCAGAATTGATTTCTTGTTGTGGGTGGAAGAAGATTGATTGCATAACCTTGCTTCAAAATTTGACAGTCGAAGTGTCAATTGAAATGCAAGATTCGTTTTCTCTTCATACTCCTGTTACTTGGGGGATAACTCAAAACTAGCTCAGCCATCCAGTACATAGGTTGCCTTTTTATTTCGGGATTAGAGAATAGAATTATTAGTCATTGAAAACTGCTTTATTGTTTTTCAAAATATTCCCTATTAAGATCTATACACTTTTGCATGCGTTTAAACCAATTGTCGAAGCACTTTTGCCACTCTGATTGAGGTACCACCAAAACATGCATTCTGAACGCATCAATCGTTTCTTCAGGTGTCGAAAAACGTTGACCTCTCATTTAGTTTTTTTTNTTTTTTTTATGTACGGGAATAAACAGAAGTCATTCGGTGCCAAGCCAGGACTATGGGGCAGATTTCTCATCAAACGATGTTTTGAGTGCTCAAAAATGCAGTTATCTGAGCCGATGTGGGAGAGCTCGCATTGTCGTAGTGAGTTTTTTTTTTCAACAAATTTTTTTGATAATCAGACGTTCATGCATATTGAATGTATGCTGGTCCCACTAAAGCCTAAGGTCGTCTCAATCTCACGATATGTCACAGGACGAGTCATGACGGGTTTCCGGAGCAACCACTGATTTTGGACGAAAGTCGTCTTGGAGTGAGCTACGAACTCGGATGAATTCACCATACCATCGATAAACACTGGTAATTTATCGCCAAAAATTGAACTATGTTCATCCATGCACTGCTGTTGAGTTAATCCACGTAGAAAGTTGCAAAATAATCGCATGAAAATGATCACGACTCAATTCCATTTTTTGGCCTAAATAAATCTTTTAGGTTAGGTTTTTCTGGGTACATACAATCTCAAAAAGGTCAAACTTTACGATAGAATTGTCAGTTGCCAGATTGCAACACTAGGGACTCCATGCCTGAAAGATCATATCAGACCAGAAAATCCGTCTACATTTTAAAGTTGAGAACTTGGCTGCATTTTTTCTTATAGCATTTCTTTCTTGAGCTCTCATTTTTGTTCCGTAAAATGTTATCGACAGTGGAACCTTTCATCATAACTCTGTAGGTTGTACCCTGGAGACCAACTCGTGGTTCCAAGCGATCAACTCTTTCGAAGTAATGAGGCGGTCAATTTTTTTTTTGAAGTAATGAGTAATTGCATTGAAGTAAGGTGAATATCACAACCAGGTTGGTCCTACGACTCCAGCAAAATGTTTGGTGGCATTAGAAATAAGAAGACGGATCAAAGATTGAATTGAATATCGAGACCAAAAGTTTCTAATTTTAGCAGTCAACTTTATGAGCGTCAGGTAACACTTCAGTAAAGTGATTAGCGTACCTGGAGGAATTTCTCAGCAAAGTGCTCCATTGCCCTTCCTATGGCGACTGGCACAGATGCCACCATACGACCGATTTCCTCATCAGATTGCATTACCTTCTTGATTCGCGTCTTAAGAACATTAGTGAAGCGGGTATCACGAAGGTAATCAAAGTAAAGCTAGTAGCAAAGCTCTCAATTTCGATATTTCTTTCACCTAATCCAACTGTGTATGAGAAGTAATTTGCGCAGTTTCACTGAAGAGGACCTTTATTGCACTGTCTTCACGATGACATATGTTTTGGATATTGTCCCTTCGTTCAATGCTACGTTGCCGCAATTATAGAACAAGGCTTTTAACATGTCCACAATTGGTAACTTGAGCTAACAACATGCACCCCTTTCGACGTCATCGGGCCTCCAAAACCCTACACATTCAAATATTCCGCAGCTCGCAATATAACGCAACTAGTACGCTTTAACCGTCTGGTAGTTCGAGTGCATACGACCTATTCTGGTAATTGGAATGGTGTTCTAGATCCAGAATTGTTCAGAATATGGGACTCTCTTTAGATTTTGACAGTGACGCTAGGCAATGTGCTAGCTGAAGAAAGCTCTTCTGCAGCTCTTCATGGTCTGCATATTTTAATTGTATCAAAACTACCATTCCATACAACTGGATATAAAGATGAGATGTTTTGGGAACTACTGCTGGCAAGAGATTGGAAATCTGTGCCGTTTAGTTCCGCTCCGTTCGTTAGAACCCCTATATTCTCATCTGATTTTTAGCGGCATATTTCCCTAATTCGAAAAAGTAGAAGGTTCCATTTCAGAACGTTAAGAAACTAATACTGCTTATAAAAGCTTTGTATTCAACTTGGAGTCAGTTTCAGCTCCGTGACATCGTTGGGTGGATTTCAGAGGCAAAAAAGTAGAACATATCAGTTGCGAGGGAGCTTAATTCGCAATGGTAAGTAGGGAGTTGTCTACAATTCAGAATCGCCTATTGCTAGTGGAGTTTTCTAAAACTAGAGGATATGATCAAGTCTTTAGGCGTCGACCAATCCCGTCCAAGGGATACACCCCTGTATTCAACTTTCATTACGAATCGCGGTGACGTATCGAATGCGTATGGGAACTATAAAAGCACTTCTGGTGGCCAGCCGATATGTAGGTTTGCGCTTTTATCCTCATAGGCATAACTGGCCCCAGTAGACGCCGTAAGGTGGAAGGTTGGGCTGCTCTAGGCAAAAATCGATCCATGATTTGCCCTTGCGTGTGTGATAGTGCACCACTTGCCACTACCTCATCTCCGCTCTTCTAGATTTAGGGGAAACAAATCTATAGACCTGGAAGTTCTGAAAAGCTCACCGGCTGGATTTTCGCCGTGCTAAATCGACGACGACGTATCGGACCTGCACTTGAGGAAGGGATATTTATGGAGCCCCCCATAGAAACGGACGGACCTGAAAATTTGTAAATAATCATAGATTTACTAACCAAGGGCTTCCGCAAAGAGTTAAGAATTTCAGTAAGCTATCGAGAATGAAGCATTCATGCAATCATGCATGAATCTATAATGAAAACAGGCTTAAACCGAATGAGGATTCCAGGGACTAAATTCATCGTAGTTCACCTCTCTTCTGGATACGTTCTGTCATACTACAAGCTAAGGGGTAGTGAATGGAACGATAACATTCTTCAAAAAAAACTCTTTCCAAATTGCGACGGTTACGAAGATAAACAACAAAATCGCATCAAACCACGCTGCAGTTTGCGAAGTCAAGCATAAACACTTCCTTGTGAGCCAATACCTTGTAAACTCGAGCGCAGAGCACGTAAGTAGAGTCGCCGTACTTCATTTTCGCTCTCACAAGAAAATACCCCAAAAACTCGAAAAAGCTTCTTGTTGAATGATGACTTTATCATGGCTCATTTTATGTGTTTTAAAATCTATCTGTCTTATCTAGTTCGAAAGAACTCATACAAACGGGGAAAGCGAGCCTGGGAGTAACCCTCTCAATAGCCTTAGCAGATTATACTTTCAAAGGTGTGTAAGGTGCCATCTACGGCAAGTGAAGGGTGTTATTATGTATACTCACGGTAACACACTGTAATTGCAACATTTTCCTCACCCTTCACACCCGCGTTATAGCCTACGGTTATTTTTAGTGTCGTATTTGTAACTGTATATGTAACAGGTGGTTGGAGAGGGTGCAGTTGACTCCAGTGACCTACCGACGGGGTCCTTGCCACGAGTTGACAATGCAGGATAGATTGCGTTCAGGGCCGCGTGAGTCGGGCGCACGATCCATCGGTGTCCAGTGTTGTCAACACGAGGCCAGAACCCCCTCCTCCCTCCCCCCCCCCCCCCCCTCTCGCTCGGTCGGTTAAAACGATGCACGTCTGTGAAAACCTGAATGCGCCCAGACGTTTATATGACACGATGGCTGCGGCAGTCAAGAGTATGGGTACATGGTGCGTCCAGTGATGACGCGGCGAACTGCGCGGTGAAATTCGTGGCGATTTAGACGATTCTGACGTTGATCACGTAAAGCATGTACACAAAACATCGACGAGGTTCAGAGTTGAAGATGCTCGTAAGAAAGCACATCAGTTTGATCGACACGAGGGAACTATGTGAGTATTTTTCCGTCGCGCAATTTACTGTGTGCATCTCCTGACGCACCAATGTTCCGTCCCTCGTTGGTCCCTTGTATTTGATGTCGGTACGCAAATACAGGCTATTACCACGATCAGAATACGACCCAAACGACTACGGCATTGGGATTTCAACCCAAAAGATCAAAAAGATGTGTACTCATGGGGCAGAAGGCGATAGAACGAAAAAAACAGCGCTAGTAGAGGTGACACACGAAAGGCTGAAGGAGGATGGAGTGGATAGCAACAAAAAAAGACCAGAATTGTTTTGGATTGCCTTTTCAATCAAAGAGGAAGTATAAGGAAACACCAAAAGATTTCTGTCGAAAAATTCTATCGCTTGCCATTTCTATAAAAAAGATGTCACCAGAGCGAGAACTAATCACCTCCAGGAAACTCTCCGTGCAATTTAGAAAGATCCTTTTAGGATTTTGAAAAGTTGGATAGTTCAATAAAAGGTTGTACCAGATTTCTCAATACGCCGAATTAAGTTATTTAAGAGGAGAGTCTAAAAAAGAATCTTTGGTGATACTGTTGGTCAAAGATTGAGGGAACGACAACTCTAGGATTAAAAACGCATGGGAAAATTTGTTATGCTCTATCAGATAGTACAGAAAATAGGATCCTCTTTTTTTTGCCAAAATTTCTGGATAGCGACAATACGCGACATCTTGGAGTACAGGCCTTCTTTAACCACGGCAATTCATTCCTGGTCTTGATGCCAGGGTTGTAGGAAACACACATTCAAAGGAATTATCTCAAAACTTGGAGCGCTTCAGAATCTTCTATGAGTAACGGATTTGACGAGGAGAGAACAAAGATGGCATACTTCAGGAGTTCCGTGAGAAGCATTAAGAAAACTGGCATCTCCGGATAATTATATTTTGGCGAAACAAAGCTGCAATATTTCAAACGTCCTAGATCAGGTTTCCTCCAAAAGCAGAGCTTCTAGTTCAGGAATAGTCGAACGAAACGGCCAAATTTTCTACAGATACTCACCGATTGATTAAGACCCCTGACTGCCCGTAATTTCACGATTTCGTTGTTAGCGATTTAGTCCTCCACAGTTCGCGAGAGTTCGACTAGTACATACTGATTGGTCACAGATTCAGCAATATGCGTTTTCTGCCTCTCGGCTTCAATGCTTTGTCGAAAATTAAGAAAACTCATGCCATCGATGAAATACCATATCACGCATCCTTTTCTTTTCAAATATAATTCCATCACACTACTGTCATCATCACACTAAAAACACATCTGTTTTGAGTTTTACAACCCATAATACAGAATCTCAAATTACAGAATCAACTATCAATGTAGAGCCAAGTCTACGAAATCTGTGAATGAAATATAAACTGTACTAATTGCCCACTCCATACCACGAATGACAGACCTGCATTCACGTTGAACCCATTCTTGAAACAAATTTAGGAGGAATAGCGTAGTTTCAGACGAACAGTTCTTGAGATTTCTTATATTTACTGGCTTCGCTATTTGGCTTAGGTTTGCTTTTCCTTTCTCGAAGGAAAGAGAAGCCAATCGAAAACAAGGCAGAATTCGTATAAAAGCATAATAATAAGATTCATCTATCAACTACAATATCGGTTCTATGTAAAGCAGCGAACATACCTGGTTGCTCTTCATGTTGACCGTGGTTGAGATCATCCATTGTCGAAGATCGAGGTCAAGATTGGAATAGAGTACGTGAAAATCGGGTTGATAAAGAGTCACAGCAGAAGAGGGAGGCGATAACAGCTAAATCACTAAAGCATCTAAAAAGAATAATGTCAGCGGTACGAAGGAAAAAAAATCGATAGCACGTGACGTGTGCAAAATTGACAAGGTTCGGTGCACCAGTAGTCGGAATTAGAAGATGAATACAGACGAATAACAAATCGAATGAGAGGGGAATAACTTTGATGAAAATTATTGCTCGTTCAAGCTAAATGAATAGCAACAATCGCAGCAAAATTAGCCAGATATCCGATCCGGTGAACATCAACCATTGCAGCTTAACAAAAGCAACCAAATAATCAATACGGGACGCAACTACTCCTGGTAAGCTTGCTTGGAACTACCGGAAGCCAAACCTCCCATGAACTGAAAACGATTCCAGACAACAAACAAAATAATAGATGAAGAATGGGAGAAGGGGAGCTTGAGTAGAAAACGAGCCTCCAACATGGGGCGCTTCCTAGAGATTGCGGGTGAATTCGGCGCATTGGGCCAACCGTTGCGTATATATATACTTTGAAAATTGGAGATGTGCAGGTCAACGAGATACGGTAGACCGATGAGCCGCAACTATATAAGTGCCATCGATTGGCGGCGCAGTGGCTGCACGTTGTGATCGGCCGGGTTTGGGCAAGTCAGGCAGGAAATCGTCGCTGGAAATGGATTTGGGTGATGCCACCAGCCAACGTTTTGGGGTTGGACGTTCTATAGCGAGCAAGAAGCCTCTTTCGCAGGTTTTGTTGCATCGTACGAAACGCCTTAGCTGGGTGGTTTCGATGCACGGCAAAGCCTTAAATTATTTGCCTATAGAAGGTGGTAAGGTGTCGTAAAGTAAGTGGAATGTGAAGCTAGCTGGAGGCGGGTTTGCATTTTCCGATAGCCGCCTCCACTCAAGCAGTGGTTTCACATTTCGAGAGATGCCGGCCGCAGGTAGTTCGTACCTGTTCAATGCAGGCACAATGCCACGCAAGTGCATTACATCGGTATTCGATTGACGGGGTTCCAATTTACCTAGGATGCAGGCTAGAAGGCGGTCACGGTGACAGATGTGGTCACCATCTACTTCAGGCTCTTGTATGTGCTCCTAACGTATCCTTCCGTACTTGCTCTCAAACTTTCAAGCCCAGTGGTCATTGATGAAGCCCAGCCCAATGGTCATTGATGAAGCTATTATTTATTTGCACTCTTCTTAATAGGAACAAAAAATTACGTTTAACAACAACCTGAACATTCAGGGAGGATACCTGTCAGGGTGCCAGAGAAATAAGTAAAGAGGAGAGGAAGACTTGCAATAAGCGCTTGAGGTAGCCGTTCTCATTGATCAAGGTTCGGCAAGGCTTTTGGACAGGACTTCCTGTTTTACTGCTAAGCGAAAGCGAGGCTGCCTCCACCTTAACTACTCCCATGGTTTCCTGTAGAACTGCTTCAGCTGACCAGCTCATGTTTGCAATGATGGAAATGAGACGGCTATAGGTTATTCAAATGTTCAGAGAACCGCTGATGATGGTCATTCATTTGTCTAATTTGGATTTTGTCTATGAGAGTAACTCAAAATTCTGCTTCAAAGAGGGTAAAAAGGGTTGAAGGTGTGCCGCGCACATTCAAGAAACATACTCTACCCCTAGAAGACTACGCCGACTGAATGCTGTGAGAATTCATGATTTATTTTCTAGGACCATGCGATCGGGCTCATTTCGTACTCCTATAAAGTACGTAGTAAGAAAATGCATTCAGGAGGAAGCATCGCTTTTTCACATAGCTGAGGGTTAGAGTACAGAGAAGGATGGTAGGTGGACATATCTGTGCTGAAGCAATTTTAGGTAGAAGAACAGTTTTACCTTTGCCTCATGAGTGGAGGGGTGGGGGAAAGGGAATGAGACGATTACCACGTGCAAAAAGCTAAGATGGGGTATGAGTTGAATATTCAATTGACTCTCTCCCCCACCGCCCGTGCGCTCCTTCCATCTTCAAACTAAGGCAAAAAGAACTGTATATTTTCGGCTAAGAAAGGTTCCCGAGCACAACTATGGGCTATCCTCCTTATCTGCGATCTAGCGCTTAATGTTAACAAAGCGGAAGTCTACCAACTACATTATCACCTTCAATTTTTGAATAGACATGCATAGTATAATACAATGCCAGTACTGATCGAAATCACAGTTTTGAAGTACCCACTTCACATTATCCACTTCACTCCGCAGTGCTCAATCTATTCCATCAACCTACCCACCAATTTACTGCTTCATATACATACTCCACTGTACATATAAGAAGGAAATGTAGGATAGAGCTGGGTATTTCATATCACTATATGTATCATAATTATAAATTTCTCCGGACGGAAGGACAGACAAACTGACAAACAGGCACACTGACACACCGACAAACCGACAAGCTTGCACACTCAATTACTGCTTTTTAAATAAAAGGGATATCTGAGTTGTCCGCAGGACCGCTTGCAATCGGCGTTGATATGTGATTGGCTGCTTTCATAGTCCGCCGGTAGGTTGGCCGGCGCGCCGGCGGACTATGCTGACGTAAAACGAATTATTTCGTATGTAAGAAATCTACGTCTGTTGCATCTTATTTCACGGTTCTGACTGTTCTGACCGTGAAATGGAACGGACGTAGATTTCTCACATACGAACTCATTCGTTTTACGTCAGTGCGTCGGCGCGCCGGCCAACCTACCGGCGGACTATGAAAGCAGCCATTGAGGCAAAAGTTGATTACAAGGGCTCACAGGTAAAGCTAATCAACGCCGGGAATGATGGCTAGGGAGACTTATGGCGTGGTACGTGTTGCAAAATTCGTTTCCCACTTTTAGGGCATCTTCAGAACCCAGGTTTTGAATGAGGTAAACGGACTTTTTTTTTTGATGTTTAGATTATGAAAGGCACAGTTCACGATAATTTTGAGGTACCCGTTTTTATTCGAAAAGTGGAAGTATAGATTGAGAATAGTTCATCGGTAGTGAAGAAAGCGAAAGAATTCGCCGATTTCGAAAAAATATAGCTCCTCAAAAGTAAGAAAAATAGAGCTTGGACGAGATTACCATGACGTAATTAACATAGAAGGGGTATTCGGACGAGATTTCAGTTGTTGCAGTTGCACAAAGAGCCGACTACATCAAGCCAAAAATGTACAGAACTGCCTTTCACTGTCTCTATGGGTTACGACAAGTAGAGTGAACTTCCTACATGGGTTCCCCTGTGAACGGTGCAACCTCCACAATGCTGGTGAAATTCGTCCACGCATACACACGGGCCAATCTTTGAGCCTTCATAGCTCCCTGACCAGGCCGTTTTCCGACCTGATAGCGCCATATATAGTATGGAAGTGGGCCTCGGATTCGTTCTAAAGGGGAATCTCAGAAACTACTTTTATCGTGAACTGTGCCTTTAAATTCAAGTTAATAAAAATCCCAATTCGTGGCCTAGTATGCTTTTAATCCATCACATCCATATAAATACAAAAGACTGCACTGCGAGTGTACCTGAGCGGTAGAGGAGTTTAACGGAAATGAGCACTTGCTTGATGATCACTCCCATTTAACCCTTTGACGACAATGCCGATCACTCGGCTCGGCCCGCTCGACTGGTCGCTCGACTGATCGCTCGACTGATCGCGCCACTGGTCGCTCGATCGGTCGAGGAGGCCGCGCTAGTTATGGGTGCCGCCGTGAACGGTCCCGAGCAGATCGCGCGATCAGTCGAGCGACCAGTCGCCAGCGACTGGCGACCAGTCGCTCGTGAGATGGGTCCACGACCAGTCGCGCGACTGGTCGCCAGTCGCCAGCGACCGATCGAGCGACTGGTCGTTGTCTATGAAAGCAGCCTGACGCGCCAATGGGAACACGCCCCCTTCCTTTCGTGCGTGAATGGCACCATCCGGAGGGTGTCATGGTCCCAGGGAGAACTCCTTTCTCTGGCTCAATAAACTTAGCAATATTTCCGCACAACAGGAGCATCAGATCCTATTTTATCTTATATCAACCTCAGGCTTAGATTTGCACTGCGGGTTTGGAAGCAATGTAGGTTAGAATTTCGGTAATAGTGTAAGCAGAAGGAATTCGTATAACATCCAAGGAACATGAGGATGAAGAGATCGACCGCGCGGTCACATAATCGCAAATCAGGTATTCTATGCGCTGCCTCCAGTGCTTCCAGGACACACACAAATCTTGCCAAAATATCTAAGCTTTTTCAGTTTTACTCCATTGACTATATATGTTTGTAAAAAATAAGCCCCGATAAAACATTCTGTAAAGCAGTCACCTGGACCATGTTGAATATAAATACTATGGCGTTTGTTAATAAACATGAAAATATTAAATAAGTTTCAAATGTGCAAATAAAGTAAAAAAACGTGGTGGTACCCAACATTGGGTGCCAATGTCGTCAAAGCGTTAAGTGATCTTAGTCTTAGAGTAATTCTGTGATACCATATATAAACCATACTCTATATAAACCACATCCTTGGTGTGTCTGTTTGTTTGTCTGTCTGTTTGTCTGTTTGTCGTCGCAAATTTCAGTATCATCTGAAGAAACACCTGGAGAAGTCGGGTCGAGTTTGGAATGGGTTGAGCATAGGGTAAGTGCAACAGAGCACATGTGAGCCTAGCGGGGCTCCGCCCCAATGGGCGGAGCATGCGCCGGAATTGGGCGGGGTCATGGGCTAATACTTCTCATTCGGTCTCGTAACAGTCCAGATGCCGGGAAAAAATGTGCAAAGGTGAGGGATGGGTCAATAATTAAAATAAAGGAAACTTACCGACGCTGGGCGGAGCGTTCTCGCAGTATGCGATACTTTTCACAGATTCATAACTCGATTCAGCGAAGGCGCCTAGGCCAGGAAAATAATAAAAAGAATGAGCAAGGCCTCATGCGTGCTGGACATGCGTAAGCTTAGCGAAGCCCCGCCCACAATGGGCGGAGCGTGCGTTAAGGTGAAAGCTACTTTATAAAAATGAGTGTAACTTCGCTCGGAAACGTTCTAGAATGCCGCAAAAAAGTGGCTACAGGTAATGGAGCAAATGTGGCCAAACTTAGAAGTAGGCGGGGTTGGCACCAAAGTGGGCGGGGCTTAGATCAAAAATTTACAACTCTATTCGGAAACGTTCTGGGATGCGGCAAAAAGGTATGAAGGTGTAAAAGAACAAATGCGGACAAATCCCAGAAGTGGGCGGGGTCGGCACTAAAGTGGGCGAAGCTTAGATCAAAAATTTATAACTCTATTCAGAAACGTTCTGGGATGCGGCAAAAAGGTATGAAGGTGTAAAAGAACAAATGTGGACAAATCCCAGAAGTGGGCGGGGTTGGCACTGAAGTGGGCGGGGCTTAGATCAAAAATTTATAATTCTGTTTAGAAACGTTATGGAATGCATGAGGCAAAATGCCGATAAAGTGTAAAAGAACAAATGTGGCCAAATCCCAAAAGTGTGCGGGGCTTAGATACAGAATTTATAACTCTGTTCAGAAACGTTCTGGAATGCATGCGGCAAAACAAAATGCTGATAAGGTGTAAAAGAACAAATGTGGTCGAATCCCAAAAGTGTGCGGGGCTTAGATACAAAATTTATAATTCTATTCAGAAATGTTCTGGGATGCGGCAAAAAGGTGTCAAGGTCTAAAAGAACAAATGCGGCCAAATACTCGAAGCGGGTAGGGTTGACAGTGAAGTGGGCGGGGCTTGGGCAAAGTTATAACTCTACTCAGAGACGTTCTGAGATGCGTTGAAAAGGTGTTAAAGTTTAAAAAAACAAGTTGGGTCAAATCCCATAAGTGGGCGGAGTTGGCACTAAATTGGGCAAGGCTTAGATCAAAAATTGGAATCATTCTGGGATGCAGGAAAAAAGTGGTAAGATGTAGTAGAACAAATGTGGTCAAATCCCAGATGTGGACGGAGTTGGCACTGGAGTTCAGAATTATTTAGTCTCTTTAAATGCGTTTCGTAACGCGTGAAAAAGGTGTCTGGAGTTAATAAAAGTAATGTGGCTTGAAGTCTGAAGTGGGTGGGATTTGCAAATATGGGGACGAGACTAAGGTCAAAAATTCATACATCTGTCCTTCACACTAACCCTCACCACATAGGTGTACAACTAGGGGATACCACTAAACCCTCTCAAATATTAGGCCAAAATTTTCTAAAAGTTAGTATCCATGGTTTCACACACAGTAGTCCCTCCTACACAAGAGTAGATGCACTACATTAATTTCGGACCTCATAAAACAATTTCTACAGTAACCCCGGCCAACAGGTGCATACCCTGCAGAAACGTGTAAATTCATACAAATACCCGAAGGAGCTTTTCTTTCAAAGTTAGTGTTCATGGCCACACACAGCCCAAATTACACAGAGATTTTTCGACTACATGGACTGCAGAGGTATTTGGTTTGGATACATTGGAGTTCTCTTCATGGCCACACACAGCCCCCGTTTCACATCCCAAAAAAATGTTGGCCGCTACAGAAGTGCCAGGGAGAGGCTCAGATAATAAAGGTTTATAATGAAAATCAGAAGCTTATGCAGCTCTGTCCCTCATGGTTAGAGCCCCCAGCGCACGCAATAGCGTGCGTGGCCGCCTGGTTCTGTGAATAAAAAAGAGACCTACTTCAACAAAATGCGGCAAGTTCAAAGTTGTATTACATAGCATTCCTGAGCAATAGGTATCTTGTTGTGAGTACGTTCGTTGACTTGAGTGTTTGGGTAAGAACTTGGTTCAAACTTACAAGAACCTCAAAAAATGTAGGTCGTGGTCGGCATGCGCTAAATACACACTTTCTTTTTTCCCATCAAGTACCATTAAGGCGACCTTAATAGAAATGACCTACACTTGTTTTTGGAAAGAGGAAGATTTCTTCAAATTCCATAAAGTTTTTCCTTTTTATTTTTCAACTTCCTACAAGATTAGTTTCATTGAACTGTGTACTTTACATTACCTTTAAACTCTTCAGATAAAAGTCAAATGGAAGTTAGTGGCCTTCCCTCCATATGCTGTCGCATTTAACACGTGCTTTAATGCACTGCAGCTAAGAAGCCTTTTGAAGAGAATAGGAAAGCCATAACCATAGTTGCTAATTTTTTCACTGGCTCCTCTATTCAATAAAGGGTCACGGTCAATGTTTTCTGTAATGAATGATGGTATTATGATGAGAGCGAAATCATTATCAGAGTGGTTTGCTTGGAAGCAGAAACTAAAACTTCTATTCGATGATGCAGTGCTTATAAAATCTGATCACTCAGAAGAGAAGATAGCAAAATTAGAATCCCCCAAAGTTTTCTGACCACCCGCTGGCCTACCACTTCAACGTGTGAACGTACGGCGCGGGAGCGTGTTCGCTTTACCACTCTTGTTTAAATAAAAAAAAAGGGTTTCTGTAATTTTTTAGTATTTCATCATGTGCTCTAATGCAAAGTTCCTGTAATTTCCAGTTATGCGAGGCTTTATATTGACCGGCTTGCCGCTTCGCGTTCGAAGCTGTGGTTAGGTAGTTGTCGATGAACTGGAGGGATGGCGATCCCCTTGCTTGAGTCCCCCTTATCCGTCCGCAAGAGGTCGCGGTTGAATTCGCTCTTAACGCGTTAAGTTGCACACGGCAAGCCCCGGTACATTACGTCCAAATCATGCGTTCTGGACTAAGGACAAGAACTCGCTCGGGGAAACATCTACCTACCAAAAGGGAGGCAACCCGTTGCCCTGCCACATGTTTTTGTCTTTACCATCAGATGTCAGCTTGTATGGTTCGAAAGCTCTCGCCAGCATTTTTCTACTGTTCGATGGTAAGTTTGCTTGGAGCTTCCATAATCCATTCATTTATATTTATAAAAAAATATATATGTATATAAATTAACGGCACGTCAGCATGTCCATACGGCTGAGAGTAGGCCCCCCCCCNCCCCCCCCACGTGCTAGAGCCTGGCAAGTTACACGTGGATATTCATGCCAAAAACAGTAACAGAAATGGGCCTCATACCCCTGAACCTGAGGGAGCCCCCAACAGCGTTGGGTAGGACCGCTCGGGAAAGGCTGCCAAAATCTCAGGGCCAAAACAGGCTGCCCAAAAGGGGAAGGACTAAGATGTCGATCTGCACTTTCAACGCACCGACGCTTGCATCGGAGGCGTGTATAGAAGACCTGATGATGCAAGCTAGGAGAATCAAGTACGACGTCATCGGACTGACCGAGACGAGAAGGCACCGCCCGCTGCACGCTGTATTTGAAACTGGAGAAGAACTGTTCCTTGGAACATGCGAAAGTAGAGGCGTCGGCGGTGTAGGTGTTCTCGTCAACACGCACTTGACCATGAACATGGATTCGTACGAAAGCTTGACAACCCGAACCGGACGTTTGCAAATGAGAAAACATGCCTCAACCCCAGCTCTAACAACCTTCGTTGTTTATGCATCAACGTCGAGGTACGACGAAGAGCTGGAAGCACTCTATGTGGATCTGGAGAGGTTTTACAGAGAAGACCATACTTTCTTCAAGGTCATCATCGGTGATTTCAACGCCAAGATTGGCCCCAGAAGAACGGCTGAAGATCTCCACGTTGGGACTCACGGAATGGAATGGAATGAGCAGGGTGAAAGGCTATTCGAGTTTATCATGTCGACCCACGCTTTCCATGTAGCTCGCAGTTCCAGAGGCCCTCTCATTTCCGACATGGGAGTCGCCTGGTGGGCAGTTCCATAATGAAATAGATCACATCGTCGTCAATAGAAGTTTTGCCTGACTGACGTCGCTGTTGTTCCGAAGTTCTACACGGGATCAGACCGTCGTCTCCTCCGCGCTAGATTCCGCTTTTCAGTGCGTGGAGAGAGAGCTGCGAAGTTCAGGAAGGAAGTCGCAAGACTGTGGTCAATTGATCACTTCGCTTCATTGGCGACTTTGTGGGAAGATTCCGTCAGCGACAACATCGATGAAGAATATGACTGGCTCGTCGAACATCTTCGCGATTGCGTCAGGAGAGCTGAAAGTCTCAAAGATGTCAAGAAACGTCTCTCTCGAAGTCCCTTGAGCTGATACGCCAGCGTGGAATCGCGCGAGCTGCAGGCAATAACCAGCTAACGTCCGATTTTGCAGAGCAATGCAGAGAAGCGGTAAAGGAAGACCTGAATGAGAGAAGTGCAGCAGTTTTGGCTGGAGCCGCCGAGGCTGGGAAGAGCATTCGCAATGCCCGCCGGAGCTTCGTCGATCATAAGACCAAGATGACTTCCCTTCGTCGTCCTGACGGAACTGTTACGGCATCCCGAAGGGCAATGGAGGAGGTCATCTACGACTTCTACTCTGATCTCTTCAACAGCCACGTCTACATGCCTACCTGGAATCCTAGGCGAAACGGATCCGTCGTCCCTTCAGTTCTTCCTTCCGAAATTCGACTTGCCATCACGTCTGTGAGGAATGGTACAGCACTCGGTTCCGACATATCAAAGCAGAACATCCAAAGAGCCTTCCGCCAGTCATTATCGGAACACTGGCCCGGTTTTCACGCGGTACCTGTCGCAATGCAAAGTGCCAACTTCGTGGAGAACTAGCAATACCGTGTTTTGTATAAGAAGGGAGATCCAGACGACATTGGCAATTATCGTCCAATTGGACTGTTCTCTGTAATCTATAAACTCTTCACACGAGTCATCCTTAACAGGATTGGCAGAATATCAGGTGAAGGGCAGCCATGCGAGCAAGCAGGGTTTCGTAGAGGGTTCAGTACAACCGATCACATCCACACCGTTACAAGACTCTTCGAAGTATCGCGGGAGTACAAAATGCCGTTATGTCTTAGGTTCATCGATTTGAAAAAAAACCTTTGATACCGTCGAACCGTCGTGACAGAAGCGGTGATTGAAGCCCTGGGCAACCAGGGCGTCCCTACTCAATATATAAGGGTGCGTCGTGAGCTCTGCAACAACTTCACGACCAGGATCTCGCCATTCTATAAAGAAGTCACCATCAACGTGAAGAGAGGGGTTCGACAGGGCGATAGCATTTCGCCCAAACTTTTCAGTGCCGCTCTCGAGAACGTCATGCGTCATATGGAATGGGAAAGCATGGGAGTGAAAGTCGATGGCCGCTACTTACATCATCTCCGCTTTGCAGATGACATCGTGCTTATAACACCCAACATCGAGCAGGCGGAACAAATGCTGGCCGAATTTGACAACGCTTGTGGAAAGATCGGCTTGAGACTGAACTTAGCGAAGACGATGTTCATGCGAAACGGATTGGTACCTGATGCTCCTTTCATGCTGAACGGAACGAATATCTCTGAATGGTCCAGCTATGTGTATCTAGATGGAGAAGTCAACATGATGAACGACCTAGCTCCGGAGCGGAGCAGACGGAAACGTGACGCGTGGGGAGCATTTAAGAACATCGAAGGAGTAGTGAAGAAAACGAAGAACATCCGGCTCCGCGCTCACCTTTTCGACACTGCTGTCCTTCCTGCTTTGACGTACGCCTCGGAGACCTGGACTCTACGAAAGCAGGATGAGCATGCTGTCAGCGTTACTCAACGCGCTTTTGAAAGGACGATGCTCGGAATTTCCCTATACACGCAAGTGCAGAAGGGAATCCGGAGTTCCGAGCTCCGTCACCGAACGAAGATCAGGGATGCCGTTGATTACGCGAAGAAATCGAAGATCAGGTGGGCCGGACACGTTATGCGATATAGTGATGACCGTTGAACCAGGACGGTCACTGATTGGATCCATCGGGACGTCAAGCGAACACCAGGACGGTCGCCAACGAGATGGTCAGACTTCTTCACGAAAGCTCTGAACGAAAGGAATGTCTTGCCTCGTGTCCCTCGAGCGAGTGCGATTCACTGGACTACTCCGGCTCGCGACAAGGACGAGTGGAGACGTTACCGGCGCCAGCTCGAGGAAATCGACGATCAACGGGAGTACGGTGATACAGGTAAAAGCTTTCTGACATTCCTTCCTCTTAGCTCACCTGATCACTGACTGCACCACTTGCGACAGTAGACAGTAGAAATTAACATATAAAATAGAAAAATATCCATTTCGATCATGCAGTTTTAACCCTGTTGGTTTTGAGCCATTTGGTCAAGTATCGTTCAAACCGTACTGGGCGGAGGTGGTGTAGTGGCAAGTGGCGCACCATCCCACACGCACGGTCAGGGGTTCATCCCGGATCGATGCCTAGGTCATCCATAGCTCCCATCCCTCCAGGGTCGGTGAATTGGTACCAGGCTCGTCTTGAAGGATAAAAGTACTGACTTGTACATCGGCTGGCCACCGCAAGTCATTG